TTTAATGGTGATTTGTAAAACAATTTATATACAAATTATCGTTCTAACTCTAAACTTACAAAACCGTAGAAAAGATTATGTTAGACTAACAATTATTTTTAAAAAAAGTTATAAGTGGTAAGTAAGTTAATTTGTAATACAAAAACCAAAGCCTGTGGTAATAAACGGTAAAAAGAAATAAATATTTCTGTGAAATAATAATTAAATGATTATTATTAATTTATAATTTAATGATATAGAACTAAACTACGTAGAAAGCCTATGCTACATGAATATGTTCTACAACACACATGGATTCATTAATTAAACTCCGTCGAGTAATTTAATTCATAAACCTCTCGTTGTTAATGAAAACCGATCACGCCATTATAAAATACATCTTAGTTACAAATTATTTAAATATATATTTTCCTCTCTTTAAGACACATGATTGTGTTTGCCATTGAGAATATGTACATTCTGCCTATTTTTAAGTCTTAAATGCTAGGCTAAATATAGCTAGCTAAAAAGCATTCTATAGAATAATTTTGAAATTTAAATAAATGTATATTAAACAATGTTGTTATATCAGAATTCAAGTAGAGAGGTCTGCAAAATACTCAAAAAATACGTCAAAGCTAAAAAGCGCTATTCCTAGACTTAATTACGCAATGAGAAGCGGTTAACATAATAGTTTCCTGAGGTAGATATCTTTATGGAAACGTACGGTGTAGACATTTGTTTTTAAGAGAGGGCATTAACCATAAGTAATTATTCATTATTAAAAAAATATTCCATGGAATTTTTAATCAAACCGCGTAGTTTATTTAAACGAGATATATTCTATTTTAGGATTTTATTAAAAATGATCCCTCTATTATTTTATGTACCGCTGTTAGGTTAGTCAACAAATCTACTAATACTAACAAAGGTTAAAAATAAATGAAGAAAAAAAGTCGTTCTTATAATTTTTGCATAAATAAAATAGCACAGAGACAGTGTTTCTATATAAATTATCCAAATAATTTTTAGAACCGGTTTAAGAGTTTTAGAGATTGCTCTTACAAACAAACTAAAAAATATATTAGTATACTACGCATCGTACAAAACGCTCTCGAGTGACCCGAATTGTACTAAAAATGAGCGACGGTAGCGCCGCGGTGACTACGTTCGTCATCGAAGCGGGCGGGTAAAATCATGAATTTTGCTAGGCTAATGCGCGCTCTTAATTGTGACGATTGATCACTATTGGGTGAAATCCGTTATTTCGTTTTATTCGTTAGGAGACTGCATAACAGGCGAAACGTCATTCCCGTTAAAGATATCTAATAAAGGAAATATCGTCCTTATCCTAAGCCTTATTCAATATAACAGTTGTAATTATATGGTACATAACTGTTTCTCTTATTACTTTATATATTAATTGGTGTTTTGTCTTACATTTGTTTTATATTTATAAAATGGGCTTTCGGTAGAATTTCTTTCAAACTACTTTCGTATCAAAATTATCTGTCAAGTTTGGTGGGCAAGTAAATTTAGACTGAGATCGATCTCCAAAAATTGAATTGGTTAAGAAATACACCGTCACACATCACACGACTGAGCCACGCTCCGACGTGGTTATCCTTAAAAACAAACAGTTTATCTTAAAACAAAATATGTTATGATCTAATTGAAAATTCAAACGGTGATAGAATCGTGTCTCCGGTTAATAACGTAGCCTTAAGAAACGAATAACAGTAACTCTAAATATATGACTTCTAAAAACTTCTTTTTGTTTTGGGTAGAACAACTATAATTGGCAAACTAAGACTAGGCGTCGATACAATTGTAGTTTGAAAGATTTCTTCGTCGAGACCCGGCTATACTCTTTCTTATATGTATGGTTATATATGATTACTGCGATACTTTTGTAATATGAGATACACACAGTTTTATATGATTACTTAATGCCTATAGAATATAATATCTACGGGTCGCTATTATATAGCATTTATGCATTACCGTAAAAGTCTACCTTAGGCCTATGAGAATCGAACTTGATATTTTCAAAAGAAGAAATATATAAAATTAGGCAACTGATGGCCACAACTCAGATTAGTTCAAAATCAATCGTTGTCGAGCCACGTTTGTCGTTCCTTTTCAAGAAGGTTTAAATACAAATAATCTAATGTTATAAGTACCGTCGTATGGCGAAACGCCCGGTCGGAACCTAATTAGATAATATATAGGTTTCTATCATACTAGACATGAATAATATATGAGCTATTTTACAATTTAGAATCGCTACGCCTTGTTACTTATTTCGTCAAAGGATTATTTTGTCGTATGTGGAATTCTAGAGACTATGTATATATATTATTATTTCTAATAGCTAGAATTAAGTAAATAAAGATTTTAATGCACAAATTGATACATAAGGGCATTATATGATCGTTTTTGAATTATGATCGCGATATTGCATGTTTTGCTCCAGCGTTGTTAATTACTATTGAATTAGAATACACGTATCTGTATATCAGATATAGCTATATCAGTATAGCTATCAGATTTAATTATTTAAATATATTTCATGAATGACATTTTGCTTAAATGCGAATAAAATTAAATACAGTAAATTACGAATTACCCATACATATTACGGAATATCTTTATATATAATGTTAGTGTTATAAGAAAATCTGGTATTATTAATTATATATTTTGTACAGGCTACTGTTCATCATAACGTCTTGACACGCGCGCTCCCTTTATATGTTCGATTATTGAAATAACATAGACATACTTAGAATATATTGCTCGCCCCGTGGAACAAAGTCGTTAAAGCAAAATCTATTTTTTTCAGGAAGGAAGGTAATGCTCATATTATAAGATGTAAATACATCAAATAGAAGCTATTTTTTTTCCTCTTTGACGTTGTTATGTATTTAGTGTAAATAGTTAATAAATGTACATTACAGAAATTTATCTAATTAGACTGAAGAGAAAAGCGATTTACGATTGTTTAACTGTTTAAACATAATTACAGACGACACAATAACCGCACCTTACGACAGCACATTTTGGCGAATGTCTAGAAGGTAATAATGTATTACCACTCCTTATTTATTTTTAACGGTCGCATTAATTTTAATGACTATTTATAAACACTATAAACTATAAACTGAAACTATCTTTATGGTTGTATCTGTATTTATCTGTTTTTAAAAAAGAAATTGATAAACGAGTAGATATTACTACTATAAAGCACAAAATAATTTCCGTAGAATAAAGACGCCCTCGTGTTTTTATATAATAAAATGTTTTGCAAAAATTATGAAAAAATTACTGTTATATATTATTAATACAGTCGTAAGAGTGCGTTAATACTTTGTTCCCCGGTGAAAACGATATTATAGAATCTGCAAAACAATTTCGAAGCTAAATAGCTATTTATAACAAATTATTAGCACTACCATAATCACAGATCTAAATATATCGAATATAATTCTCTGGACCTAGCTAAGTAATATATTTTGAAAATTTTAAATTTTGTGAACTGTTGATCAACATCCATCCACATAGTGGATCTAGAATACTGTCTTCTAGTACAAATTACTGTTACTATATGATTAATTATAATAATTACATGTTGAGTGAGCAAATTTAGGCATTTCTCCATAATATACACATCTTATAGTATGAATAGATTACTGTATATACAAAATTACTGTAATGGTATTATTTTATTGATAAAATGCTTACGGGACTAATGATATGGTACAGCTAATACGAAAATGCCAAATGTTTAATTTGAAATAGAATATGTACCGACTGAATATGCGTTTCACTGCCGTACATGACAATGTTATATTAATTAATAATATTTTTATTCAATTGAATACAGAAATTATTCCTAATAGTATATTGAATGTGTTACTGCCATGAATAAATTTTTTAATAAGGTGCTAAATACTTTACCTGTAAAAAAATTAACGTAATGGACGGAGAAAACACAATCTGATAATGGGGTTTTAACTTATATTATTTTTTGGAACAAATAATTTCGAATGATTTTCAAAATAATTGTGGTTATTCATTTTATGGTACAGAACATAGGTATTTTTGTGTTGTAGGTAGAATGGAGCAGAAACGGTGCATACAATTATCAGGTCTCCGTGTCTTTTTATCAAAGCACTTTCTATAAAAATAAAACTACATTTTAAATAATTTCCATTAAAGAAAGTGAAAGCAAACAACGTTTTAGTGGACTTATAATCAGGTAGTTAGCCAGTTAGACATCATTCTGAAGTACACAGCGTAAGAAGTTAGAGTATCTACCGAAGAAATCTAATTATTTAGAAAACCTACCGAAATTCGTGTTTGTTAGAGTTTAACATTATTTATATGTACAGAAAAATTCTAGTCGTAGAAAAATATTTTTTTCGTATTAAAATTTGATGGCTAGCTACCGATATATGGAGACAACGTGTGGTGGTGCCGGACTCCCAAGCATACGAAAAACAATTTTGTTAAAGAGTCTAAGAATAATTGCATTATTGTAAAATTAAATACGGAAAAACGGTAAATATCTTTGAGACAATAAATAAATTAGTGGCGTTTCAACCTTTTTAGGTTTGAGCCTCAGATTTCTGAAGTTATTATATTTTTGAGACAATACAATGAAATAATTTGTAACTAAAAATATTAATACAAAAAATTTTAAACATCTGAAAAGTTTACGAAGTCAGTTAAAATAAAGTTTATTAAAATAGTCAAGTTCTTTTCGCTTATAATAAATTGATTTTGAAATTGAAACAGTAAAAAGTCAAACGTAAGAAGAAGATAAAAACAAAACGATAAAATTGTCCATGGATTTAAACCAAATCGTCTTCATCGTATCACATAATTTCTCTGGAAATATGCTGTAAATGCGTTGGGAGGTAGCGAAGTGGAGCGGATTCGAGTGGCCTAGTAGCTGGAGGGGATTGAAATGAGACGCGAAGGGCACGTCTCTGGACTGTCGGTGTGGGGGCACGCTGTTAACTTCCCTTCGTCACGAGATGGTAGGGAGCATGGATAGTCGCGACACTGCCCAAGTCGGTTTGGCCGAGCAGTTCTTCTGGGTGTTCGTGAGCATGCTCTCTACGCTTTTCCTCGTTCGTGTAGTAATGAGCTGTACGTCGGCGCGTGCAGCACAGAGCAGCTGCTATTGCTGCAAACACAGCCACGCAAAGCAACATCAACCCCGCTATTACGCTCATTTGGGCTTCATGGGTTCCCATACAAGGCTCCAGCTTATCAAAATCCAATTCGCCAAAAGTAACACCGTGAAGTCTCAGAGGAGAATGGCACGTGAGATGTCGTATGCTGGAATTCAACACCGTAGTGGTCATGTAAGCCAACATCGTCCCCACCGAGCAGTGATCACAACGCCAATGGTTTTTTGATAAGTCAATGTGTGCTATCGCCTCGAGTCTTTGAAGATCCTCTTCGTTTAATGTATGTAATCTGTTGCGAGACATATCTAATGTTTGCAAGAATTTTGTCTTCGTCAGGAGTTTATAAGGAAACTTTGTTAATTTATTCCAGGATACGTCGAGTGATACCAAGTGTTCATTATAGATGAAAAAATTAGGTGGGACTTCTTGCAGGGACAAATTAGCGAGGCCAACACTTTGAATTTCGGGAAGTATTTGGAGAACAAGAGCTATTTCATTGAGGGGTAAATTGTTGCCGCTAATATTTATTGTTTTCAGGGAATCGACAGCTGGGGCGAATGTTTGCAGGTGGAACCTGTCTATTTTATTGTGGCTTATGTCCAGATGCATCAGGTTGGTGAGGTTGTTTAGGGCCGCTGGCGCCAAGAGGGCGAGACGGTTTCGTGCCAGGGTTAGAACTCGTAACTCTCTATTCCTACCAAACATGTTGTCGACGATCACTGACAATTGATTTCCATCCAACTTCAACTTCTTCAACTTTTTCAGACTGATAAATTCATCTGAAGTCAAATATTTGAATTGGTTCTCTCCCAAGTCCAACTCCTCGAGATGTGGGACGAGGTGGTATATTTGGGTATTCACTCTACGCAATAAACATCGCCGACAAATAAAAAATCTTAGATGTTGAATGTCTTTGAAAACTTCAGGGTTTAAATCGACTAGAGGATTGTCACTGAGATCTAAATAAAGTAATTTCGCCAGCATACGAAAGAGCCGAGGTACTAATGCTGATATTTGATTTTGCGACAAGGTCAAAGTCCTGAGAGCTGTGAGGTGTCGGAATGTTTCACTCGGCATCTGTTCGATATTGTTATGATCGAGGAATAAATCCGTTAAATTTATGAGTCCCCGGAAATTATCAGCGCCGATGCTTGTAAGGTTATTGCGCGTTAGGTTCAGTACTCTTAAGTTTTGAAGGCCCCAAAAAGAGTACTGACCTATGGAAGGTACGTTGGAATTGACAATGTGCAGTTCTCGAAGGTTAGCGAAAGGGGCGGGCTGGGTGAAGATGGGTCCAATAGTGAGATAATTAGGACGGGTAGGCGGGGGAGCGATGACGATGATGTTGGCAGTCCTGTCTAGCTGATCGACAGGAATTGTGTTCTGGTCACCCCGCGTACATGTGACGAGCAGCTCGCTCGCTCCCTCGGAGCCGACGACCGTCTGGCAGAAACATTCGACCGGGCAACTGGGCCCGGAGGCACTTGAGGTCTTCGATGAACTTATGAAACATGCTAGCAGCAACAAGATCCTCCTGAAACAAATAATGAAATATCTAAAATAACCTTAGTTTTAAGTAATTGCATTGTATAATAGCAATTACTACGTATTTTATTACAGGATGGAAAAGTTAAATTTCATTTCTGCACTTTTTAATTAAGGCAAATATTGTTAAATGATTTCTTATAATAATGTTACAAAAAAGATAGAGTTAATTGGTATCCGGGAGTGTTTTCGTTGTTTATTTAATAGTTTAGTTTTATAGATAGTTTACTTTAAATTGCATTACATATAAATTTATTTGTTAATATAACAATAGATAATAATAATGTTACGTTGCTACTCGCGTTTACATATTATAAACATTTTCTTAATATGATTTGTATCTCTAAAGTACAATATTTTAAAGTAAATTTATAATTAAAATATGTATTATTAGAGTCCAACTTTCTTAAATATATACAAATATGTTTTCAAGTTTCATAAGCGTCAACAAACAGAAAGTCAAACTTTTATTTTTTATACATATAGTTTCTTATTGCCGCTAATAAATGAGGCAATTTTTATTATTGTTTAACAGAATAAGAATAGTTATCCGTAATCTTTTATTTCTTGGTATTTGCCAAAATGTCATGAAAACCATGTCTCAGCCATGTTTCAATTACATGCGTGGCTTGAGTTATGTAACCTAATATTAGTTAAGTTACATATATATATTTTAGTTAATAATTAGAAGCGTAAACTAAATGGTAGCAATCATCGCTCACTTGAAGCCAAAATGAGCCCTTTACCCACACCCATAAATTGTAATATCACATTCTCGTTTCCGATAATGTCCAATAGGTCAAATATTTCGACATTTATTGAAGTTTCGCTTAGATTTAAGTACCCTTAAATAAGCCAAGTTAGTTTTTGTTAATCCTGCGTCACAACCCTACTCCTAATTTTATGTTAGATAAATAATTTATATATTACATTTTTTTGTAGGACTGTTTAAGATAAACATTTCCATCATACATTACATAATACTCGTACGAGGGCGGCACTGAAAATTTCGGGAATCAAGGTAGTTACACAACATTACTATTTAAAAATGTATTTATTGCTTTTCGAAGTATTCTCCGCGAAATTTGACACATTTTTCCATACGATGGAACCAATCATTGAAGCAACCATTCCATTCGGAAGTTGGGGTCTCCAAAATGGCCGTTTTGAAGGCGTCCACAGCTTCTTCAGGTGATGAAAATCTCTGACCACGCAATTTATTCTTTATTTTAGGGAAAGTATAGAAATCATTAGGGCTTAGGTCGGGGCTGTACGGCGGATGGTCTAATAATTCTATGTTTTCTTGCTCTAAAAACTCTTTTGTTCTGTGCGTGCCAGTGTGAGAACTCGCATTGTCGTGATGGAGGATGATGCGGCGGTTGCAGTTCTCTTTACGGAGTTCAGAAACGACCTGTGGCAAACAAATTCTAGCATACCATTCTGCATTAACTGTTCTTTGTCCTTCAATAGGAATAGTCGCAACATGGCCGGTTTTGGAGACAAACGTGACCACCATTTTTTTTGCAACACTCCGTGAACGAACAATTTTCGTTGGCTTTAAATCATTTTCGAACACCCAAACTCGTGACTGGTTTTTTGTTTCGGGTTCGTACGCGTATATCCAGGATTCGTCACCTGATACGATGTTGTATACAGTATTTGAGGATTCTGCGTGGAATCTTTCGACAGTTCTGACGCACCAAGTAACGCGAGCCGCTTTTTGCTCTTCACAGAGCGAATGCGGTATCCGTCGGGAAAACAACTTTTTTACACCTAATTGTTCATGCAAGATTATTTGTATTTGACTCATGCCAATGTCTAAAGTTGCCTGAATTTCGCGGTATGTCACATGTCGATCTTCCTCAATCAGTTTACGTACAGCATCAACGTTTTCTTGTGGGTGACTGCAGTTTCTGGACGACCTTGACGGGGATCATCACTGAGCTTGACACGTCCACGTTAAAATTCAGCAAACCAGCGATAAATTGTGGTTTTGGATGGGGCTTCATCACCAAGCTTGCTTGCTTCGTCCTGCGTAATTGTAAGGAATTTAGGAATCCTAGCACTAAAGTTACAATTTACACATGTCTCGTACGTAGTATTCTCGAATATTGCAGTCCTGTGTGGAATCCGCATTACGGCATCTATATCAAGCGCTTAGAGAATGTACAGAAGCGATTTTTATGGCACCTATCCTATGGTTGCAACATGGCTAGGAAACTTCCTAGTTACAACGATCGTCTATTACATTTTCACCTTAAATCACTTCGTCATCGTAGAGAGCTGCTTGATATCATGTTTCTGTATAAACTTATAAATGGAATTTTGGATACCCCTGATATCTTGTCCAGAGTAAACATTTCTGTTCCTAAAAAGCTGCAACGATTTGCAAAGCCTCCTTTCAGAATTAAGTTTGCAAAATCAAATCTGGGTCAGAATGCTCCATTAAATAGATCTTTAAGTAGTTATAATTTAATTCATAGCGTTGAAATTGATGGTGGTATTGGATCGCAATGGGGGGTCGTGAATTCCCCCAAATAGATATGTTTTCAAACACCCCATCAATTTTCAAAAAGTTAGCGGCTCAGCTGATTACTCATTAAGATTTTATCGGGGTTATTCAATTAACTCAATTAATTTTGTAATGTTTTTATTTTGGTTTATCTTAACTTAATTTTTTCTTCTTTTAATGTACTTATAAAAATTTAGAATGTGGTATGCGCCTATAATTGGGGTAGCACTTGGCTTGTGTTTGTGTTTGTGTTACATTACTTGTATTAGTGTCTACTTTGTTGGTGCATAAAATAAATAAATAAATAAATAAATAAATGCAGAAATCATCCGGTCAACACACTGTTTTTGTGATAAACCACCTCGAAAGTCATAATAAATCATCGCTCTTGAATTTTCTCGAGTCAATTCCATTTTCTCAACGACTAAAAAAGTTTAACAAAACTTTGTGAAAAGACCGAGAATCTTTTTTAAAATAAATAAATGGTATTCGATTTTTAAATCCAAGGAGTTTTCAATTAAAAAGATTTAAATATGACAGGAACAGTGGTATTATTCCATTCCCGATACTTTTAGTGCAGCCTATGTATGTGTAACTCTAGCGTCTTTGGCAGCGCACGTCAGAATAGCTCGTAAATGGTAGATTTTTTCCTACTTACTTGATATTTTGGACAATTCACACAATATCTTTATAAATTTATTTATTATTATTTATTACACAAAATACATACATTATCCTTACAGACTATGCCAATACGATAATGTCGAGCCTATGTAGCCTATGTGTTGTTCTGATGTATAAGCTATATTATTGTAAATTTTCATTCGGTAGTTTTTACGTTTATCCATCCATACTTACAAGCTTTCGCGTTTATAATATTAGTAGGATATCTACAACAACCGCCACCGAACTCTTGCTAAAAGAAATTAATAATAATTGCGACGTGAGATGCCGTTCTCCACCTACTATGTAGAAATGGTTGTGCACTCGTTACGCCTTTTAAAAGAATGTTTTAAGGCCAGCTACCACGTGAGCCTTACGCGCAACCTCTCAAAGGCTTTCGTGCATAATTACGCAACCCGTGGTACTTAAGTGGTTACCTTAATAGGGCATTAATTTTTGAATAAAAATAGTGAAAATCACGAGCTATTGAAATATAAAAACATAATTATATACGTGGGTAACACTGAAAATATTTAGAATTGGCCAGTTAGAAAAATTGCAAATGAAAACTCTTTTTGAATTTAAATTTTAGAACTCTTTGCAAACCTAATATAGTATATTGCATTCATTTGTCATTTGTTTTTGTGACTTGGCGGCAAATCAAAACTCTTGTTACACGTGAAAATGAACATAACGCCAGAAAATTTTCGGTCAATGATTTATTATGAGTTTCGTTGTGGGTTTATTCAACAACAAAGCTTTGATAGACTGCGATTAGCATTTCTTAATGAAGCCCCATCTCGTGCCACTATTTACATTTGGTTTAATGAGTTTAAGCGTGGACGTAGCAATCTCAATGATGATCCTTTAACAGCGAGTACTGAAGATAGCATCAGTACTGTGCGACGCATGATAGAGGAAGATAAGAGAGCGACCTATCAGCTGATACGGGCAAGCCTAGGCATTGGCATGAGTCAAGTTCAAAAAATATTACACGAACATTTAGGCGTCCGGAGGCTTGGTACCAGATGGATTCCCCATACTTTAACCGACGACCAGAAACACCTTCGCATGGACTGGTGTCGCCAAATGTTAGATAAGTTTAACGGCGGTGACTCAAATGCTGGATTTGACATCGACACTGACCTGGCGCCCTGCGACTTTCATTTATTCCTAAGAAAGAAAGTTCGAGGTATTCGCTTTACGAGCCCTGAAGATGCGGTGAAGCGTAAGAAAATGCCATAGAAGAGACCCCTAAGGAAGAATGGGCCCACTGCTTTTCTCAGTGGTTCCATCGAATGCGACGATGTGTAGAGAGGAACGGAGATTACTTCGAAAAACAATAAAAGTATTCGCAACTTTCTACATTGCTTAATGTAGAAAATTGCCGTTTTTCATTTGCTAAACATTTTCAGTGTTACCTAGGAATAAGTAAATGGAGTCGATAGGTTTTGCATCATGTTTATTGCCAAACTTATATTATTAACATAGACAATTACTGTGTAATCCAACAAAAATAAATCAACCAGAATTAATGCGCAAAAAAGTTAAAACCCCGCGAAAAGAGGCGAGATTAGAGTCTTGAAATATGCCTCTCGCTTTGTTGGCGAATCCAAACTCCATGAAAAATAACAGCTAACGAAAGGATTTCACGGGTCTTTGTGAAAATATAAAATTACAATTTTATATCACAAGGGTTAAATTGTATGTATTATAAAGTCGTATTATTAAGAAATAGTATCGGAAATAAAAGTAGAAAATATTGTCTTGAAGTTTAAATAAAATGTTTGATGACTACTTCTAACTGAACTCGGGGAAGGCTCGGTTCGCAACGACTGTATTACTTTTTTGTGTAAATTTATTTTCCTCCATTTCATGCTATTGTTTCTTTTTAGGGAAACCTTCGCCGGTTACCAATTCT